CCTGCTGTCTGCCACTTGTGTCATTATGCATACTGAAGCTGCAAGAAGCTAATGATCATCATCTTATGTTTCCTGCTAACTGAAGAGCATGCATATGCCTAGGAGTGAAAATAAAATCTTCTGCAGTGATTATGAATTATGCAGTTAGCATTTCAATTATGAAGACTTCTCTCGTAAAGAAGTTCTTGAAATTTTGAAAAGCATATGAGATCATTTTTCACCCATAAAAATGGTAGGGAGGAGGAAACCAGGGCAGATTACTTTTTGTTGCATCGTTATATACTTTACAAGCATCTATGCATAAACTGAGTGCTACTCGTTCTCTATAATCACTTTCATTAGGAACGACATTCTTCTATACTCACCATGAGACCACAGTTTCCCTTCATCAAATCTGCCAGTCTGGTTTCAGATTAGATATTTACAGGTGTGTGCAATCCCAAATCGTTAACAAAATCTCGATTATTCAGCATTCGGGCCTCGGCACGAGGTCACCTCTTTGACACTTCTGCCCCAAAGCTCACAAGGATACTCTGAGGACACACATCTCTGCCATGACATCTCCTCGCAACAAAACCTACCAGGCTTCACGAGACAGAGGGGGTGCAAATCAGGGGTAGGTCTGTCTAAACTCCAAACAGAAGTTTTTACAGAAAAAATATATACTAAACTGAATCACTTTTCAATTTTTGGTGTTACCTTGTAAGAAATTTCAAAGTTTTCACCACCCCAAATTTGAAGACCTGGATCATAGAGACCCAGTTCAAAGAAGAAATCGCGTTCAATGGCAAACAATCCACCAGCCATCGCAGGGGACCTGAAAGAGGAAGACAATATAACTTCTTCTGCCAAAGGGACATGCTAACACTTGGGGAAAGCATTAATTAAGAAAGCACTTCACTGCTTACATATAATAAAGATTAGATAAATGGCAACACACTGAAAAATCATAAAGCTTTGTCATCAGCTTCCAGCGATTTTTCTGAAACGACATCCGTATAATTTCTAGTGAAGTCACAAATTTTATTATGGGGTTGATTTTTTTTTTAATTATACAAAATTTTAGTTGGAATTGCCCATTCAGCTAGCCAGCGTGCTTCTACTAAAATAAAAAAGGTATGAATCAGTGTGGCAAGACACTTCTCTCCTGAAAGTTATTCAAGTTTCTGAGATAACAGACTTGAAACTTACGCTCTGAGGAGCTGCCACATTGAAACTTGTATTACATTAGCAACACAGTTTTTCCAGCTAAACGATACCCTTCTATCTTCTCCCTCAGGGTCTTTTTCTACCGCTGCCGTATGAGACGCTTTTCATTATCCTCAGTGAAATTTTTCAGAGGGCCTGAACGTTTCCATTTTGGTTTAGTTTTGTTGTTGTTGTTTTTTTTTAATGGCTTTGTAAATCCCTCCATGTATGCCAAGGTTCAATTAGCAAGTTTTACTGTGTCAAAAAGATGTTGCGGTTTGGATTAGAGCAATTTTGCAGAATGGCTCTAACCAAAATTCTTTGGTTGCTTGCTCACACTGAAATAGAGAGCAGAATACGTTAGTCCATTGCCAGTGCACATACCAAGCAGTTTTCACCTGAGGATCAATAAATATGTAAAAACCCTAACGGATAAAAGCTGGAGTCCCCACTAAGTTGGCAAAAAAAAAAAAAAAAAAAAAAAGCTGGTAAGGAAAAAGCGAATTCTTTCTGACTTGAGATGATCTACAGCACTGAAAGGAGGAGGATACAAGAGTCCAGATCGCTCTGGCGAGCCAAGTAAAGCACAAGTGAAATATTTTTTCATGACGAAATGAGAGATGTGTCATTTCTAGCACCATTCAGCCTCTTCGTTCCATTAGATTTTTAACTCAGCGGTGTTCCTTTTAACACCAGTGATTACCTATTTCCCTTCCGCACATCAATGTCTGGAGGAGAAGTGCTTCAGGAGAAGTAACCCGCGGGGTTAGCATATACACCCTCCGTGCAGCCGGGGCAGGGCAGAACAAAACCAGGGCTGCTGGGTCTATCAGCTGAGTCAAAGTAGGATGGTTTTCAGCTCAAATCACCCGACCAGATGCCAGAGTTACTCCTAAACGTCCCCTTCTACTTGACCGCTTACTGCCTCTTCCTCCAGCACCGCTGCGGCGTCGCGGGGGCGCGAAGGGTAGGACGCCCGCGAGCCCTCGGCGCGGAGGAGCG